TTTAATCAACGGAAATGGAGCTATTGCCGTGCCTTTAGCACATCAATAACGGTTGTGCCTTAATTAAAAGTGTATTATGAGCTTATTTTTGTGATCTGAATCGTTTATTTTGTAGGATTCGTTGAGTACTTCATGCCTATTAAAAATCATGTTAACCAGATATCAATAACAATATGATCGAGTACATTTATCATAAAAAAAAATAAACAATAAGTTTTCTTTTCAGAAATAGCATAAAAAATATGTAATTTGATTATATAATTATTGATATTGATATCCGATTAATAAAATTTTTGGTAAGAATGAAGTACTTAACGAATCTTTCAAAATGAACGATTCGAGTCATAAAAAAAAGCCCATAATAAACCTTCAATTGAGGCACAACAGTTATTGTTGTGCCTTTGACACAACTTAAGTTTACAATCTAAATTAAATGACCCTTATAATTTATGTAAAAATGCGAAAAGAGTTAATATTTAATTGATAATTTATTTTAATTAATTCAATTTTTATTACTTTATATTCTATTTATTTATTAACTTTAAAGATTGAGAATTTTTTATTTTTGTGTAAACCGAATATTGTTAAATTATGAAACAATATCATATTTTTATCTTTTTGAGTTATTGTAATAATTATTTCACGTCTTGATCTATGTAAGTTAAATTTAATTATACAATTTTGGTGACTATATATGCAAGCAAAATTCTTGTGAATATCAATAAATAAAAAAATAATAATTATAAATACTTATAATTTTATACAACCTTATAAGGGAAATTTGTCAGAAAGTCTCATCCGGCTAAATTGTGTTCCGTTTGGTCTCACGAATTTTTTGTTTGATTGGCCAGTCCATGTTAGGAGGGATATCTTACTAATAATTCCTTTTTTGAATTTACTTTGTTATGTGGTGACGAATATGCCTCACATAAATTGTGGGATGTATGTTTTATTTTGGGTATATATAATTCCACGTTTGGTTGGGGGGGGGGAAGGGGGTTGGAGGTGTAAAATCTTTTTGGAGGTGTATGTATAATCCATTTTAGGGTTTGTGTTTTGCAGCCAACATCTTCTGTGACAGTCCACCATTGTTGATTCTAACGTGAACACAAGCGGTTTTGCACAGGTATGTTCCACATTTGACCTGTGCAGACATTGTTCACGTTGTTCATATTCACGTTCACGTTGTGAATTGTTCATATTCACGTCATGGAATATAGTTCAATACCACTTTGACCTACCGAATACATGACCTGTGCAGACATTGTTCACGCTGTTCATGTTCACGTTCATGTTGCGGAATTGTTCATATTCACGTCGTGGAATATAGTTCAATACCACTTTGACCTACAGAACATATGACCTGTGCAGACATTGTTCACATTGTTCACGTTCACGTTCACGTCGCGGAATATAGTTCACTACCACTTTAACCTACCGAACATATGACTTGTGCAGACATTGTTCACGTTGTTCATGTCGCAGAATTATTCATGTTCACATCGCGGAATATAGTTCACTACCACTTTGACCTGCTGGATTCACAGTCCCCAACTCCGTTCGATCAACCGAATTAGGGTTCTTCATGCCACAGCACTCAACGACAAGTATAACCACACCAATTTTGATATGCACAAACCCTGGGTCAATTTTTCCTTCAATCTCTTCAGTCTATTTCGGGATTAGATTGATTTGAATTTGCAAACTGTGAGTGGGCAATCGTAACAAATGCTAGTGTTCACGTCGCCCCTACCACCGATTCGGTTTCCCAAATTGGGGATGATTTCTACTTCCAAAATAGTTAGTCGGGTCAAACCAATTCGGTGTGTATCGGGTCGGCACATTTGGACCTCCAGGTCGCACACAATACCCGACTCACGCACCTACATCAAAAAAACACCCACAAACTATGTGGTCCAGTCCCACATAACTTAGTATTACAAATCCCATACAAAAACCCACTAGTACGCTTTTCATGAAAATGTAAATCACAAACACAATCATTTCCATAAACAAACATGCACCCATATATTCAAATTAACACATCAATATAGGGATGACAACGGGTCAGGGCAGGGTCGGGGATCACACTTCCCATCCCCGATCCCCGATGGCAAAAATTTTTTCGGTCCCGGCCCCGATCCCCGAAGGGAAACCTATCACCGTCCCCGTCTCCGCCTCCTAACGGGGATCGGTTTCCCCGACCCTGAAAATTCCTTGGAACAAAAAAAAAAAAAAAGGCTCCAGTTGCAGATCTAATCTAACAGCACAATCACAACCAACTCAAAACCCTAAACAGAATCAAAATCAAAATCATCTCTTTATACCACAATCACAATCACAATAACAATATAACAACACAATCAGAAGTTGAAGTTGTAAAACACACAAATATATAGATATATACACACATGGACACACACATACACACACACACACACACACTAGATTTGAAATGGTTCATGGAGGACTCCACCATGCTCGATCGATCTCGTTTTCCCTGGAGTAAATATGCAGCGGTGAGGATCTAGAGAGGGACGGCGGCAGGGGTAGCACGGTGGTCGTGGCGTCGAAGGAGGTGGTGGCGTCGAAGGAGGCAACGACGTCGGAAGAGGCGACGAGTTGACTTCAGATGTGGAAGAGAGTGTAGAGGGAAGAGAGTAGAGGAGAACTAGAGAGAGAGACAGTGGGTGTGGTGCGATGAGCGAGTGAAGAGATAAGAGAGAAAAGAGACAGTTTCAGATTCAGAGACGAGAGTGAGAGAGAATGAGAGAGAGAGAGAAAGCAGAGATAGATTGTGAGAGGGTGATTTATGATCCGGTGTTGGGCCGAGGTATCGACCGAGCAAGTTGAAGGCCCAGCAGTGCATTGGGCCGAGATGATCGACTGTTCACCCAGAGATGGGCTACCAGAACTTGGGCCGGGCAGAGTTTGGACTGAGTGTGTGCCGCCCCGGACCGTGCGGAAGCTGCTCGGCCAGGAAGTGACCGGTCAGACCAGGATGCTCGAATATAACCTAAACACATATATATATACATACGGGGAAATTTCGGGAGAATTTCTGGGCAGAGTTGGGGCCGGAGTCGGGCCAGGCTTGGGAAATCAATCACCATCCCCGGCCTGAAAATAATCGAGGATTTAATTTTAAATACCATCTCCGTCCCCACGGGAGTATTTTTCGTGGAATAACCATTCTAATCGGGATCGGGGGGTCGGGTCTCCATCGGGCCAAGTTTAAATTACCATCCCTACATCAATGACAAAATAAACAGCCAGCCCTAAAGACTAAATAGTTCAAAAGAAATAACTTAAGACCACATGGGTTACAAGATGACAAATTAAAATTTACTAGTCAATTCCCTTATTTATAATTATATATAAATGATTCCAATTTTTTTTTGGGTGAATAAAATGATTCCAATTTAAAAATTCGGGTATGGCAACAAAACACGTGCCCTGATCACAACTAACCAACTAGAGGAGATTGCGAATCTCAGCGAACATGTGCTTTCTCTTTCATATCTCTCTCTTTCTGTTACTATTCTTTTCTCATTTTAAATTTTTGATAATTATTTTTATTAAAAATACTAATTTTTTTTTTAAATTATCAATTTTTTTTTACCCATTATTGATTTTATTTTACAGTACCTAATTAGTCTGAATAGAGAAAGTTCTCACCTACCTGCTTATGGTGGTGTTTGGCAAGGAAAAAAATAGCCTAGTTTAGACTAAAATTCACAAAAAAATAAAATAGGCTAAAATAGTTAATAAGACAAAATATCACATCAAACTCATAATCATTTCATTTTTCTCTCACAAACATCACATCCAACTACAAAAAAATCCAATCATCTTCCCAAACACAAAAATTTTAACCTACTAAAATAGCCAAAAACAAAAATAGTCTACTAAAATAGTAACTTCCCAAACGAAGCCTATGGTGGTGTTTGGGAAGCAAGTTCCCAAATTTTTTTCTCATTTTTTCCACTAAAAGACAAAAGTTTTGCAAAACCAAAAAAAACACATCCAAACAAAATATCACATCCAACCCCATAATCATTTCACTTTTTCTCTCACAAACATCACATCCAACCACAAAAAAATCCAATCATCTTCCCAAACACAAAAATTTTAGCCTACTAAAATAGCCAAAAACAAAAATAGCCTGCTAAAATAGTAACTTTCCAAACGAAGCCTATATATAGTGAGGAATAAGGGTGAGATTAGTATGTCTCATTTTTTATTTTATTTTTTTGTGAGGAATATAGGTTAGAATGCTCTATGATCAAAAAAATATATATGTCCTACGATGTTGTGCGAAGAGATGTTACAATATGTTTGTTAAAATGTGTTATATGACAAATAAAATAATAAAAATAAACTTTAATTTTGTATGTTAAGTGTTTTTAAATTTAAAGAGTGAATGTGTATTTTAATGAAAATATTAAAATGTGTTAAATAAGAGTAGAGCTTATTTGATTTTTTCCCTTTTTTTGCACAAGATATCGGTTAATATGTTAGTATAGTTACATTACAATGCATTAAAATAATTAAACAATACAAATTTTATGGTCCCACCATGCATATGGGCCATTTTGGTTTACGAAAATTCAGCTATTGAAGGAGATACTAGACTGATTGTATGATAAATTTGGGTGAAAATTTAGAAAAGAAAAGAAAAACACAAATATACTAATAAAAAATTCAAAAAAAAACGATGACCTGTTACAGTAATTTCTATAGACGTAAAAAAAATGAAGAATATAAATAAATATGTTTTTATTTTTTATTCATGTTGAGTTACAAATCGACTACAAGATAATTTATTTATTAAAGTGAGATATCATGAGTACATATGATTAAAAGTATCGATAATAGAATTAACATTAAAACAGTATTTTTCTCATTGAATAAAATCAACTAACTTTGTGACTTTTCATGTGACATCCCAATTTCTGGACAGTTAATAAATCAAATCAATTTCAAATTTAAAATTTCAATTAATTAATAATCTCAAAAAATATAAATTGTCTCCAAAATAATTATACAAATGTCTATAATTTATATAAATCTCCAAAAAAAAGATATATAGGGGTGGTCCCCAAATCTCTAACTTAATAAGTTCTTTAAATTCTTCAACTCCAATCACCAAATTTGCTCCATACCTGAAAAATAAATTAATTCGGAAAATATACAATACAACATGAATAACAAGACTCGGATAGAGAATAAATCAATAGGGATCTAATAATTTACAATATTGCAGAAATAATACGATTCAAATTGAGACATCAAGCAATTTACCAAATTGTATAAACAATTAAACTCACATACGATAATTTATCTAGGACCAAATATCTGATTCTACTTAGTACATGACCAGTGATCGGTCTCACCCACCTCACCCAAGCACAATCACTTATTCGGGCATATTGGTGCAAGTTATTGGTATGGTCCACTCGATCCGTATATAGAGTATTTTCACGTCATTTAGCCAAACAAATCAACACTAATTACACAGAATAATTTTACAGAATTTAACGAATGACTAGAATAATAAAGAGGAGTACAAATTGAAGGTAATTAAAATAAAAACTCTTTGCAAAGAGATTTAGAGAAAACATATTGTATATCACCCGAATTACCTTAAATCAATCTTCTCCGTTGCCAACACTCTAATCCATCGATATTTCTCCATGGATCTCCACAAATGGTAGATCAAAATTCTAATGCATAAGGTACGTAAAGTTTGACAAAATCTATAACTCGTCTTCTCTCAATTATGTGGTGTATATAGGTGGTGTATGGGTATAGGTGGTGTATGAGTATGTTGTGTGTTCCAAAACGTGGAGGGGAATGGTTTATTTATAGAGTTCAAAAGCTTCCTCCATAAGTTTTTCAAAACTTCCTTAAGAATCTATCCAAGCTTCTTCAAGAATCCATTAAAGCTTCCTTAGTAATCCATCAAAGCTTCCTTAATAATATATCAAAACTTTCTCAATAATCTTCGTTCAAGGTGTACACAACACTTTTTGATTCTATAAGGGGTCCAAATTTATCTAAATTATGAGGGTTAGGGTTTAATTTTATGATTTGAAAATTTTGTATAAATGTAGAATTCAATAAATCACCAAAATAGTATAATATAATCACCAATTCTTCTTATTAAAATATTAACACTTCAAAAATACAAGATTTCACAGCCACTGCCGCAGCTACGGCCCCTGGTAGTGGAGGAGGGTTATGGGTTTAGGACTTAAAATCGATATTAATTATGGGAAATTAATTTATTTTATTATATTTTATTCAAATTTTATTTTACACTTTGACCTCCATGCTTCATAAATATAGAATGACAACCATTTAAATTTTTAAAAAACCAGATGAATGGACAACTTAAAATATAAAAACAAAAAAAAAAAGACTTCAAAAAAGGGACGAGTTTGTATAATTTGAAAATAATTAAAAGTTAATACTACTATCATCCCCTCTTGCCTTCCTTTAAATTCATCCTCACGCAAGAGACTAAAATAAATTTGAATAATGTAAGAGATCCAGAATTTTTTTTTTATTTTATAAAAATCATATGTAAGAGATTCAGAAAAAAAAAATTGAAATTTTTATAAAAATCATATAAATATTGTATAAATTTTTTAAAATCTTAAGCATTTGTGAATAAATTTTACTCTTAAAATAATAATAACAATAATTAGGCTCGAGTGCAAAGCCCAAGCCGCAAAGTAAAAAACTACTCCACCGACCCCCAACATTCCTTCCCTCAAGTTGTGCGCCAACGGAAAATATTGGACCATCTCTGCGCTATACTTGTCACAGTGAAACCTAGCCTATATATAGCACATTTTGTTTTTTAAAAAATAATTCACAAATAAAATTTATGTATATAAAATTCGTTTATAATAATTTGATACTAGTATTTTGACCCTCACAAATTATAATTATTATATTTTCTTCAAATAATAAGAACACAAAAATTCACATTTTATATGACATTTATGTATAAAATTTTGTTTATACCGCAATACTTATATAAAAATTATTATTTTCTTTTAGAGCAATGTTGGTGTTGGAGTATTGACATATTTATAAAAAAACACCTATTTATATTTCAGAATTTTTGAATAATTATCTTGAAAGTAAATTATCTTCTAATAATAAGTGAAAAATGGTGCAGGAATTGTGTGTTGTACTTTCTTTTTTTTTTTGATCCAAAGAAAATTCATTAAAGAAAGTTAAATGGCACTTATAAGAATCCAGTCAATTCAAAATTTACACCAAATAAAGAAAAAAATACAACAAAAAACACACAAAAAAAAAAAAAAAAAACTTAAAAAATATTCAGATGTACATCTAGTGTGTTGTACTTGATGCTGGCTTATGCAAGGGAGTTGGGTAAAGGTTAAAAAGCTAACTCTCTATTCCAAATGCTCTGGGGATCGGGTTTCCAATTTTCAACATGCCTCCGTAGCTTCCACGGCATGCCCTCCCATATAATCCACATTACAAGTACACCCATTTTTTAATTTTAATTTTTTATTTTTGGTACTGAATAATGTAGTTGAAACAAAACACCAACAAATATATCCCTCAATTTTAGAAAAGCATACCCAATATTAAGCACTTGAAGAAGAAAAAAATAAATATAAAATTCACACTGTATATAATTAGGAACAAGATTAGCAACTAATCAACAAAAAGACGCTTTTTCACTGATAATCATAAAAATTGGAAGAAGATAATTAATTCGGGAAGAAAAAGCTGAAATAGCTGACTGTGATACACATCGTATTTGTACCAGTGAGAGAGAGAGAGAGAAGCAGACATGGAATTTAGAGCTAGAAACTAACTTTTTTTTTTATTCATGGTTGGATCTTGCAGAAGCTTCTCCATATATATAATCCAATACCAGAACACACAGACAGAGAGCTTCTTCTTCTTCTTCTTCTTCTTCCACAAAGAGAGAGACAACTGTACATCAACTAGAGAACCAAAGTCCCAGAGAAACAGATTGAGAAGCCAATTGTGGTCTTCTTCTTCTTCATGGCTTTATCCGAACCCACTCGTAACGACCTTCCAAGGGCATGTCCTTCACAATGTCATAGTTATACCTGCAATAATGAATTTGGACTTGGATTTACAATTGTTGTTACAGACTTACAGTAGAAGGAGCTGAATTAGGGTTAACTTGATTAGCATGTTCAGTAAACAGGTATGAGTTATGTTAGGGACCAAATAAATTACCAAATTTTTTATTAAATTTCTCCCATAGGCGTGTAACTCACACCATATGATTTGTGTAGCACATTATGTGAAAAGTTTAATAAAAAATTTGATAATTTATTTGGCGTCATATCATTTTCTAACAGGTATTGAGACTTACTTCTCTGTAAATTGTTTCTGGAGGCTCTTTTCAGCAGCTACGAAGAATTCTTCAATTTCGGTTTCTGAAGGCATTTTGTCGGCCGTCAATCTGCGGCCAGAATTTGCTTCCGACAGCCTCGCCGATGACTCCAGCTCCCCTGATTCTGCCTGAAGCTGGCTCGACGGTGCCATCTCTCTCCTGGAAGTGTTTGAGGACCGAAGGAGACGTAAATTGGGAGATATATAGAGGAGAGAGAGAGAGAGAGAGAGAGAGAGGCAGTGAGAATGAGAGCTGAAGAGAAGGAATTTAATGGCCGAACGTTTTGGATCACTCCTTTTGAATTTCGAATTGAAGTGACTAGAAGAAGAGAATCGCATTAATATGGAAAATTTAATAAACTATGTGAAATACCTTTCTCTGCAGTTGAATTCACACGTCGATGTTTCCAATTGAACACTGTTCTCCTGCAAAAACAAATTGAAATTCAAAAAAAAAACAAAAATAAAAAAAAATAAAAAGCAATTAAGGCACGGAAACCGAAGATTCATTCCAGAGAATGATATTGATTCATGAATCAACTTGAATTCTGAGTCTGTGACTTCTCGAATACCTCCAGATCTACGATTTTCAAGCTCTCCTTCGCGAACTCGCTCGATGCATTACTCGAGCAACAAGAAGCCGGAACACGATCGGAGACAGGGCTCGAGCAACGGCCATTCGAAACCGTCCGTCGTCCAGAACCTTCCATATCAGCCGGCGTAACCACCAATCGCCGGCGGCTTCTCAGCTGAATTAACGACGAAGAGAACTTCAATTCTCCACGGCCGGCGCCGCCGACGACGTTCCTCCTCTTGGCAGTGCCGGACCTCGGTTCGGCGTCCATAGCCAAAGCTCTAGCTCTGGTCCTCACACCGACATACGCAACCTCCATTACTTGAATCTCTCCAATTCCCTTACTCTTCCTCATGTACTTCCCCATCAATCTCTCTCTACTCCATCTCCAACTCTTCAATAACTAACCTCACACTTTCTCTCTCTAGACAAGCGTGAATTCTTCCATGGAAGCAGCACTGAGAGCTTCTTCTTCTTCTTCGTCAGTTTAAGAGAGAGAGAAGAAAAGATGGTGATGGTGATGGTGATGGTGATGGTGATGACATGCGGATGGCAGGGATTCCATCTAACGGTTCGGATTTGGTTTTTATTGGCTGAGTTGAGTTGGTACGTGTGGTCGTAATAAGTCCGTTTGAAGTGACGGGGGTGTAGGGTGGCCGTAACGGAAATTTTGACGGCGCCGTTACGGAGATCTGGAGGTTCTATGCGGAGTGTTTGGCGAATCAGTGGGCGACACGTGTAGTTTTGCACGTTAGTTGTTTTGTTTTATCCGAACCAATAATTATTGGTTGATTACAGGACCTAACGCCTCGTTTGCGAAGTGCGTTGATTTTTTAGTTATTTTAGTTTGAGTTAAAAAATTTGGTTTAAAAAAGATTTTTTGATTTTTTTTGTAAGAGAAGAATATAATGATTATAAATTGGATGTTTTGTTTTATTTTTTGTGATTAAAATAACTTATTTTATCTTTTTGTAATTAAAATAGTCAAAAAAAACTTGAAAACCAACTTGCCAAACGTAGCTTAACAGTATTGTAATTAGTAAGAAATAAAAGGCAAAAAAATTATAATTTTATATTAGGTATTTAAAAAATAAAACAAATATAATATATTATAATTGGTGAAAAATAATTTACACACCTTCCAACAACACCAAATAATTTTTCAATCAGAACTAGAATTGGGTTATGATCGCGCGTAATATTCGAAATCCGTTTGGTGCCGAACCAGTCTCAAGCGCGATAGTTGTGTATTATCGAAATTACTTGCTTGTCCTGGATAGTTCCTTACAACTACCATAATGCCATTCAACTTATTTAGTTCCTATTTTCGGAATTCATTTTCTAAAAAATTAAAATTTTTTGTTTATCGTATTTTTTTTTAAATTTCTACTGGATTTTTTAGTATTCTAAGGAATTTTGAAAATTTTTAGATACACCTAACATAAATACATATAAAAAGTATAATATTTGTAAAAAAAATCTTTAGAAAATTCACTAAATATCAAATATATATATATATATATAAAAAAAAGAGAATTCAACACATTTTTTTTTGTATTCTTGTATATTTATTAATTTTTTAAAATATTTTTTTCTAAATATTTTACTTTTTAGATACATTTAAGTAAGATGAATTTAAAAAAGTAAAAAAATTGTTTAAAATTTTACAATATTCACTAAAGCAAAAAAAGACGAAAAATAAAAAATTGAATTTTCAAAAACTTGAATTTAGAAAATTAAAACCAAACACACTAATTCTTGTTGTAGTTTCAAATCAATTATGTTACCATAATCGTGTTTATATATTCATAATTTTTTTTCATGTTATTATTGTATTAATTTAAAGGATTCATTGTTCATGTGTGTTAACAACACAATAGTTACATATGAAATGATAAATGTTTGAAAAATTTATAAAGAAGTCTTTAAAATTTGATTTCGATAACAAATCAAAATTTAAAATTTTAATTAATTCAATTTAAATATCATTCATTTGTATTGATCATGTATAGCATAACTAATAGAGAAAGCACAATATAAATAATTTAACCACTTTTTTTTTTTTCCTTTTTTTACCGTTGACAATTACCTTTTACCAGTATCATCGTCTATTCATTCTTTTTTTTCCATCCAGCATTACTCCTCCCCTTTCCCTAACTGATTGCCACTCTTCTCCTTCTTTCCACAGTCCATATAGACACTGCCATCAGTAAAAAAATATCTAAATTGTTCATGTAATTAATAGATGGTTAAGATTGATATTATTTTAAAAGGTAAAGTTTTAAATTGAAACAATTAAAATATTAGAGTTTGATTTGTTATCCGTGTCAAAAATAATTATATTTTTTCAATATTTATTTTACAATTTTTTCTAAATATTTTATGATATGCAAATATAATTATTGTAACATTATTAATTATGATTCATATAAATGCTATATCCAACTTTGAGGGGAGAGATTGTATTTTAATATTTTAAATTATTTTACCATGGGGAAATTAGCTTTTCCATAGGTTCACCTACTGTGTAAATTATTGATTGTGGAATTGTAACACTTGGAACTTGGAGTGGTCTCTTTACCACATTTTAGGCGCCGCGGGGGGGGTAGCAAAGTAAAATTTATTAGTAGCCTTATAGGTTGATAATGCAATAATTTTAATGGTGGATGAGTTGGATTGATCCACGCTTCTAACGGGTCTGTTGGCCTTTGTGTCTCCAATGCATGCCTGCAAAAAGGTCCAATAGGGGAGACGGTCCATCGACGGACTCTCTGACGACCAAGTTAGGTAGGGATATACTAATTTGAGAGAGAGACAAAAGGAATGGAAAACTTAACCTCTAACGTATCTCGAGGGTTTCCTTATATCCGCAAAGTAAAATTTATTAGTAGCCTTATAGGTTGATAATGCAATAATTTTAATGGTGGATGAGTTGGAATGATCCACGTTTCTAACGGGTCTGTTGGCCTTTGTGTCTCTAATGCATGCCTGCAAAAAGGTCCAATAGGGGAGACGGTCCATCGACGGACTCTCTGACGACCAAGTTAGGTAGGGATATACTAATTTGAGAGAGAGACAAAAGGAATGGAAAACTTAACCTCTAACGTATCTCGAGGGTTTCCTTATATCCTTTGCTCATCATTTCCGTGTCCATTCTAGGCTGTCTTGTTGGTCAAAAGTCTATGGCCTAGTTAACATCGTTCATGATAATCCTGCATACTCTGGCGTGAGGGGTTTTGCTGCATTTAATGCTACAGTGGCCTCATTAAGTGGCTGATGTGTGGGTGCAATAACTTTGCAAGATCTTTGTCTGCTTATGTGGCTACATCCCTGTTTGACAAGTGTTTGCATACCATTGGTCCTAGGCCAACATTGGCCTCTTAAAGTTGCTGGGCTTTAACCGCGACTGCTTGAAGGTCTAGGACAGGGGTGGGTTAAGTTTACCTGGGCCGTGAGTTATGGGCTGGGCCCTCTTGGGTACCCATCGGTATTAGTAGTCCCCCATTCCTAAGTGCAGCTTTAGTCCAACGAAGGGAATAAGAAAGGTGAATGAAGTCTCCCTAGGTTGGAAATATGAAAGACCGACTGCTTGAGTGACCTGCGAAAGAGGTTGACCGACCGTTAGGAGAGCTGTTCGTGAAGGTGACCGAGCGAGAAGGAAGGCTGTTTGGATAGCTGACCACAAAGGTGGCCGAGCGAGAAGGAAGGCCGTCTGGATGGGCGACCGTGAAGGTGGCTGAGTGAGAAGGAAAGTCGTCTGGATGGCTAACCGTGAAGGTGGCCGAGCAAGAAGGAAAGTCGTCTGGATGGCCGATCGCAAAGGTGGCTGAATATGAAGGAAGATCGACCGACAATGGGGCATTGATGGGCACGGGGCTCAAGGGTCAGAAATGCACATGATGATATGAAGTGGAAAAGACGGAGAAAGAAAAGATAGTGAATGGAAGCGGCGTAGCGTGTGTGGGTGCGTGGGGCAATCAGCACCGTTGGTGAAAATGTGATACTGTTGATGAAAAGCAAAAGGGTTCTGTATAGTAGGGGGTTTTCAAAAAGGTGGGGGTATTATCTTGGCAGTTAGGTTTCAAACTGGCAAGGTTCAATTACGATCTGTTAAACACAGGCAAACCTTGGACATTTGGGCTTGTGCGATTTACGTGTCTAATCATGAGAAATCGACAGATGCCAAAGCTTACCTTGTTCATTTTGTGTGATTCGCCATTGCTGCACGTTGTGAGTTTTCTGGCCCCTGCGATCGAGGCGATTTATAGAAACGCGAGTGGGATGGCACAAGAGAAAGCCCCTGTACTGACTCTGGACGCGTTAGGAGAGGATGATGGCATTGTCTTGGCGGAGGAATACAAGGTGGGGAGATTCGGGGAAAGGGGGGCAGAGACCACCCCGACCCGTTTCGATAACAATGATATCAGCCGCCCAACCAGTGAGTCAAATGGCACCGGACCACTGGTATACCCAATTAGACAAGTCGACGTCGATGCTGGAGGATCTGTAGGAGTTACGAGTGAAATATCAGATTCTGGCGGAAGTGGAGTTGAGGCTGTTGTCTGCAAAAGAGAGGGCATCAGATGTGAGCCCATGGAGTTTACGCTCTACGAGGAGGCACTCTGAGGGGGTTTGAGGTTACCCATGCCCCAAATCGTGGTGGAGGTGTTGAATCAGCTAGAGGTGGCGCCTGGCCAATTGATGCCGAATGCGTAGAAGATCTTGCTGGCGTGTGCGATCTCCTGGCCGCGGGTGACTGATGGGAGGGAAATGATGGTAGAGGAGTTTTTATCATGTTCCAAATTCTCAGGCCAGCAGGAGACCTGGGTGACCTTGCAAGCAATGGCTGGTAGGGGGTTGGTCGTCGGATTGCCCTCGTTCGTGAAGTATTGGCGAACGAAGTGGTTTTTTGTATCGGAGAATGGTAAAAGAGGAGTGCGGACGATGTAGAAAGTCCCCACGAGGTTGCTGGAGCCAAAATTAGACACGGCAGCGGAGGGTAGGGTTTAGTGGGTGAAGGGGTGGAAGGAAAATGGGGGGTTAAAGTGGGACGACCTGGTGAAGTCGTCTGGATTGTTTGCGTTGGGGTTAAGGCCTGAACCCACGTAGGATGACCCGTCGGCCAAAGAAGTAGAGGCTAGGAGGAAGGCCCAAGAAGCGGAAGAGAAGGGTATTATGGCGGCGGTAGAAAAGTACAAGAGAAGGAATTGGGGGCAATGCCAAAGGTAAGTGTGAGGCTGGAGGCATGTCCAAGGCCCAAATCGTTGGCAGGGAAGGACTTGAGCACGTTTGTACCGCTGAAGGCACCGGTGGACCCTTTGAAGGAGTGGAGCATGGTAGAGGTGGAAAGGGTGGTGAAGAAAAGAAAAAAAAAAAATGGCGTTCGAGGGGAAGGAGAAAAGGGTTTTTCGAAAGTGTCATGACCCAAACCCGCCCCTATAGGTTTAGTATCGTAACCGGCCAGTAATCCTTGGATTACCGAAGGCCTCTGAACTGATTAACATAATTAAGGGGCTAGGGGAAGCAAATACACAAATATAATTGTCCAATGAGCT